GTTAAAGATTGTTTCATAATTTTTTTGTTATCTGCTTTTTTTTCAGGGGGTGCTCTACTAAGCATCAAACCCTCTAAAAAGCGTGTTTTTTTGGAGCCGAGTCTATAGTACGGTACTTGTTCATTCACTATACTGCATCCAGATGACTCAGTCGAGTAAAACGGTTATTATTGTTATAATCACTCAAGGTCACTTCAGTCTAATATAGAAAATCTTTTAAATCCTTCGATGCCAGGATTTTTTGGATAAGATTATCATGCACTCCATAAAAACCCCGAGCCCTTATGATGCACAGGATAGAATTGCAATTTTAATTATAATAATCTTTATTCACAACGGTCGCAAAATGTCACAATAATAAACCTCGTTACATTAGAAACAGCAAAAGCAGTCCACAGGCAGTTGAACTGTTAATTTAAGTTGTCCTTCCTAAATGTCTATAAATTAGAAAGGAATTTCCTAAAAGCCTTTGGGGTTACTTCTCCTAGATCATAATTAACATCCCATAATGCATCACCAAGAAGACCATTAAATTTGAAATTTTGAAAGTTAACTTTTCAAAAGCGATTTATTCAACTGCAAATAAAATGCAGTTTATGTTATTGGAAGCCTTACAGTCACACACATCTCCTTTGTAGAAACATTGTTTCTTGTCGCCGATAAATATCAACCTATCAAAACCGTCGTTTCTGGTCGCCGAGAAATATCAACCTATCAAAACCGTCGTTTCTGGTCGCCGAGAAATACTAACCTATCAAAACCACCGCCGATAACTACCACCCTATCAAAACTATTATCTTAAATATCCCCTGTGGTTTAATTCAAGTGTATATACTAGGCACTGCACCAGTATGTCACGTGACCATATGGTTGCTTCTTTTATACAGAATGTCTAAGACTCAATCACCTTGTGGTGTGATTATGTTAATACTGCTGTACTTAGGATAAGAACTTGACCTTGGACGTCCTTCAGTACGTTATTATATTCCTAATCAATTGAACTTACTTTATACTCACAGGAGAATACTTTCATATAAATTGATTACCAATAATAAATAGGCAGAATTAACTATCGATACGAAAGCATGATACAGATGGACTACCTACTATATCCAAAAATTAGTTCATTTATTTTGCTGTAGACTAAAAACTTGTCTGGCCATGGCACTTTGTATTTACTTATACAACATTGGCTATTCTAATTTGAGATATCTAAAAAGTGATGTGAATTTAAGCGTACATTTCACGATATACATGGTACGTAGTTGAATGCCTGGAGTTGGACGAGTGAGATCACTCGTTTTGTTTCGTAGTAACATTATTATCAAAGCCTTTCTACTGAACTATCACTAAATAAAACACAAGTATCTCGTAAATCCCGGGTTTATAGACATTGTGTCATGTATGACGTCGCCATTACAGTTTAATCATTCAAGCAAAGTGACGTATTTACTTGGTTGATCAAAAAGTTCAATTTCATCAGCAAAGTCTACCTTGGCGACACGCAAAGCAAAACGTAACGGCCATTTCAAATGTTAACTATTTTACAAAATACTTTCTTATTATTCAATACGTGTTGAGTAACTGGATTAGAAATTTTAATTTTGACTGGAGTTGAGAAATGTTTGGTACTTTGTCATCTAGGGGAAACGTGCGAGTTTTTCCATCACTAATTAAAAGCTCAAATTACTCTATTCATGGACATATCCCTGATTAGGTTTATCTAGTCTGCGTAGAAGTAAACCGTAATTCAAGCCCTATAATTGGAAAATGCGTTAACAACCAAACAAACAGGCACGCGACATTTTGTTAAAAAAATGTAATAGTTTAAACGACGGACAGAAAAAAACCAGAATGATATAAAAAAAAAAGTAATTAAAGCACAACACTATGTTTAGAATGTTATTTTATTGTGGAAGTGTTAAAATTATTGATACTTCTAGTATACCTACAAATGTATGACTGATATTTTTTTTTTAATGTTTGTTTTCCTTTTAATTCCCCGGTGTAAGAAATATACATGGTGCAGTCAGTTAGAAATCATTTGCAGTGTGAATTTCACGTCACTGTTGAACATATGGGATCCTGCAGAGTAGTCTGACCTTGTCGTATTGGATATTTGGGATAACAAAGCTCATTTGCGTATACTGATAACATTCAATCGATATGTCAATCATTTTTGCCATGCTATCGGTTGTTTTTCATGTCACCTAACTGTCAATTGATATATGATCATTGGGGCACAGTGAAGGCGCCATCTTGGCCCTAATGTTTACATGAGATGCTATAGCAAATACTGTTGATCAGATAACAGCCTACAGTTGATGATAATATGTTTAATATAATGCAAGACTGTGTTTCCATAGCAATACATATAATGATATTCCACTATTGTATGAGCTCAGCATTATATCTATCATCAGCTCGCTAGTTGCATATCTTCCGGATAATTGGTTAATTTTTCAATTCATGTTTCACTTTTTGGGATAAAATGTTCAGAGTATTATGTATATGTTTTAAAGTCAAACTCACAACAAATATGTGTTCGTGAACAAAACTATATAGACGTTATTTCACGCGACAAAACTAACAATACTGCTTCTAGCCATACGTTATAAACGGTAATGGCCGCCGATGACACGTCATATCCGGTAATAGCCGCCGATGACCTATTTAACATATTGCCACTGCATCCGCAAGCAAGTGGGCAACCGGGAAAAGTAGAAGTCCGAGATAACTCTCTTCATAACAACGGAAACACTCAGAAAACTATGTATGAGTTAAATTGATTGAATAAAATGGCACCTATTTATGAAACGTCAAGTTGATGTTTAGAAGGCTGTCATTGTTCCACTGTTTAGCATGCATCTATATGTTGCCATGACGATCTATGTATCCGGCTAAAGAACGCACCGAACATTAATGTTGTAGAGAATACAATTTCATGTTTGTTTGTTTGTTTGTTAGCAATAACATCACGTGACAACAATCGTTTCCAGCAATGCATTTTGCATTAGCAATCAAAGAAGTTCCTTGTTATTCGTTAGGAACGCAGTTGTGTCCATTATTTTTGGTGAATACCCCATCCGAGCAATGTAATAACGCAATAATGGTGTCAGCACACCAATGTATAATGAAATATGCAATAAGATATAATGTCTTATGTCAGAACACCAATATATAATGAATTATACAATACGATATAATGTATTGTGTCAGACACCAATATATAATGAATTATACATACGATATATGTCTTGTGTCAGAACACCAATTTATAATGATAACATTTTGCTTAATCTCCCACTATTTAACTTTGATGTTCACATATGTGATAGCAATCATTGGAGGAAACAGACATTATAAAAAGTATTTTGAATAACTGGCCGTTAAATGGCAGTGAACGAAGGCAGTTGAGTGGGTGCTTTGAATGTCAAGTTTCCTATTAACACCATATGTATCAGGTGCATAGATGACCTTACGTTAATAACAATTCATCAATCAACTTTATTGTGATTTGTCAGTTCAATAATTGGCCTTGGTTGACATTGTATTGTGTCTTGCATGAATAAGTGCAAATAAACTGGATAAACTCAAAACCATTTATTGATTTTTCGGACGAATATTATTGAATGCCAATATTTTGAGCCTTCACAGATAGCACTGTTGTTTGATGAGTGTTATACTATAGGAATGTTGTTATAAAATGACGGAGTGTATCTGCTGATACCCAGTCTGGCCTTATTATTATCAGTGCCTATCTGTGTCTCTGTCCGTTCATATTTCACCAATAATTATAATACCACAATTTCTTTTTTGAAAGCATGTGCGCATCTCTAACATCACTTTCTCAGTGTGAGAAGTAAATACCTGATGATATTGAAATATCAACGTCGTATGTGCAATACACACCAAGTTAGAATAAAGACCGCGTTCACCTTTCGCATATGGATTTGTTTGAACATCGTGGTATCTCCCAAATGTTTACACGATGAAATATACCTGGTTAATACAAATAAGTGCCTTACATGCTGTGTATAATCAATATGTAATTTCTCATTCTAGGAGTCGTTTTGGCAACGTTCTGATGGTCGAGATAACGACGCAATTGAAGCATTTAATTATGTTCTTTTAATGGCCCCAACGCCATTCAATGGACAAGAATACGATAATTTCTTGGAATCAGTTGCATCTAAGATGGCTGACTCTCCGTTCAACATTCCACGGGAGAACATAACCAAGGTATGTGATTCATTTAGATGATCCATACGTGATCCATATTGAATATACTACAATTTACCAAATAATATATCTCAAGGGACGTGATCTATATACAATATACTACAAGTTACATTATTCATATACAATATACTACAAATAAGTAATTTATATATGTTACACTACAAAATACGTGATTTATATGCAATATAATTTTACTGTCGGTGTACTAGTAACGATTCGTCTCCGTGGACGATATAATTTTACTAGTGTGTGTGTGTTGTGGTCCAAAGTAAAATATGTGAAACTGGCACATATTTTAAGAACTTTAATACAAAGATTATGATTAAACGAACTCAGAGATAAAGATGTGCGCATGTAGGTATAATTGCATATAATGAAAGCAAACTTATTTATGTATGTCTTAGATTGACGGTACTTACGCTAGTTACTTGCACGATGCCGTGCTGGGCTACGCAATAACTCTGGATGAAATGCTACAACAGGGAGGAAATCCACGTGATGGACGTCTTTTTAGACAAATTCTACCCACAGTTTCATTTACAGGTATATTTAAATATATTCATAACATTTAGAAATCTTGCATGACTACAAGCTAAGAAGAAACGATGTGGATGTATTTGATGTGCCTAGGGTATATTACTATTGTGGAGAAATCACGTACATTGCACTTTATGTCCCCTGGGCAATAATTAAACGCACTCACATTACAAACATCGCCATTATTTAAATGAGTATGCTCTGTTATATTAATTCACATGCGAAGTCGTTTGAGGGGGAGGGGTGAGCAGAGATTTGGAATTTGATGCGGTCTGAACACAACAAAAAATCATCCGACGTCTACCATCTACGAATTTGAAATGTTTAAATAGAATTTCTATGCAGTCGAGTGTAGTCGTAAGCATTATTGTCATTCAAACAAAACACTGACGATAAAAATATATTTTTGAGATAAGATGCACTTTTTTCACTAGATTTTAAATTTTATATCATGTGACTTACATGTATGGCAATTAAATTGGCAGGTTTGACTGGTCACGTGACATTTGATAACAACGGTGACCGTCGCCAAGACTATTCTTTGTACGATTTTCGTGACAGCCGAGAATTCTTGAGTGTTGGGATTTACGATGCTCATTTGCGCACATACGTACCCTCATCGGAAGCGGAAATACAATGGGGTAACAGTGAGAACACGCCGCCAGCGGACGCACCGAAGTGTGGATTTGATGGTGCCCTTTGTGTATACAGGGACGAAGGTAAACGATATATATACTTGTATGATTGTGAATTCTCGACTCTATCATTAGTATGCAGTATGTATATGCTTCGTTCATAGTCATGCACCAACCATCTTTCTGTTAATGTCTAATTGGACTTTTTCCCTGAAACTCTTGCGTTGATTATTTTGCGGGGAATATTGTTGGTGTGTAAAGACTATTATATCTGATTTGCACATATCAACCAGTCGCCATTAATTTGCCCTTAAATAGTCTAGATACCATCTGCACACCGTGTAGTCATATCATTGTCATTGCATTATTGTGACCGACCAACGCCAAACGAGCTGCATGTAGTCCACGCTCTCGCGTACATGCATGCACATACAATGTGGTAAAGAACTTACGAAAACTGAATAATAATATACACTAGGGACGAAACAAGCAGTGAATTGTGTTATGTCATATGAGTATATACCATTTGTTCGTTCAATATATTTGCTGATAAAATGAAATGTTTTGTATAATGTATGTAAGTGAAATTATTATAATTGGACATTTGATAACTATAATTGGTCACAATCTAGCCAACTTGATTGATACTGAAGAGAGCGGTAGAATGGATCATGTACACTGCAGAGTCTGTGTATGAATTAATGAATGCCCTCGTCAATCCATTAGTTACTGGTACAGTGTACTTGATATGAATACTAGCCTTAAGGTGAATCTCCTTCCCCTATGTGTTCATTATGCTACACAAATCGGCATATCTCAGGGGGCACTGTTTAAACCATCACTGACCGCACTCACCACCACGGAAAATGAAATTAATCAATGTATGTCGTCTGACACGCATGCGTAAACTCTAAGTTCGATGATTCTGAATTGATGTGAAAAATAGACCCGATCGATACCAGGCCACACTTACTGCATTTGCAGACGTAAAACTACATGTGACTTCAGAAATATTAAAATGATTCTAGCATAATTCTTGGCGTAAAAGAAAATATTCACATGTACAACATATTCTTAGAAAAAAGTATCGTGAAATACTTTAGTTTTTGGTGAATTGTCTTTGCGTTAGCTGTGTTCGCAGAAGGTTGTTTTGCGCGGAATTAAATTCAACGCGAACACGGAAGGTGTCATTTACGATAAAGTGGGCGGAAGACAAACAACAAATCACTCGTATACAATTCTTACATACAATCGGGTTACGAGTAATAAATATTAAAACGTTCAAATGTCAGTTGTACACTCGATCGCGATGATTACGAGAGTCGTAATTTGCGTATTAGAGGCAACAATGTTACAAAAACAAGTCTTACAACGCACCGTACGTCATAAAGGTCTATCCCGATTTGCTGCACAACAGTATTTCGCAGTTTTTATTACTCTGTCACTGGTAACACAAATTGTAAAAGACAGAAAACAAATTCGAAATAAATCCGTATTTGAAGAGAAACCTCTGTCTGTGAATGGAGGCTGATAAAAAACGAGACAGGCCATGATCACACCCCATTCATAGAGTGCCCCAGTACCCAAGAACGCCCATCGAGGCGACACACGCTGTGGTATCGCGTCCGATGCATGCTAGGTAATAAAGAAGATTACGATCGAGGTAAACATGGTGGCAGCGCGGAGTGCATGATTTTTCCCCGTTGTTTAAAAACAAAACCTCGCTGCGGATTTTGATGTAACTTCGTTTTTTTCTTTATATTTTTAATTAACCGAGGGTCTTACATTTGTGTATTTTAACACTTAAAAGTCAGGTTCCGATGATGGCAACAGCAGTGGTGAATGTCCATTGAAATGTTCTCAGCTGACAACGTTATATATCATTTACTTCAGTTTTGAAATGCCTGGCTTAAAAAAACGTTTCATCTCACACTTTTGCGATTTCGGTGTCACTAAAACATGGTCAATGTTTCGAGTACGGTGTTTAAAACTACGTAAATGTTTCGCTCAGACTGAATTTGCACGTATAGCATCAACTCAATCTCACGAGACTTGTGTCTATACGAGTAAACTCACAGCACAGATATATGAAGTGGCAGATAGAATTCCCTTCAAAATTAATTGTAAATTGTCGCAGACAATCAGCATCACCTGGCTGGTTGTTATGACAACGTTTGTTTATAAGATCAAAAACCTACATATATATGAGAGGTTGCCATCAAAATAAATGCTGTATGTTGGTGGTGTGGTACCTTCCGTGGAGAATTGAGAGCAGCAGAATTTACTAGCACAGCAACTGAAACGTTTACCAGGCCATCAGCAAATTCTGATCCAGCATTTCTTGTCTAATTACTCACTGTACACATTTACTATTTAACATGAACAAGAATGGTTAGAGTTAATCATCACTAAGCTACGCTTAGCTTTATTATATTAGTCCAAAATAAATTGCACAAAACCATTGACTGCGCAATATCCATTTTTGGTTGTTGTGATCAACCCATTTTGATCACGGGGGTGTCAGGTACATGAATGCTGTGCAAAACAATTGATTTCCCTGGGTTAAACACATGAACTAATTTGGGAGAATTCATTTTCAACCATGAATCTAGTTACAACACAGCTATCGCGTTACATTTTTCACACATTGTTACATTTAACAACTTAATGTGATGATGTTATGACTGCATGTTTTTTTTTTGAATAGCGCTGTATATAAGTGGAATTACTGTTGGTGCAATGCTTGGTTGTGTACTCGTGTTGTCTCCTTTCCTCCTGTCATACATCATCAAAGTTAGACGGAAACGCAAATTTGAGAAAGAGCTGATGACGTTTAATTGGAAAATAAACTATAGTGATATTCATCAGAACAGAAGAGGAAAGGTATGTACTACAGTCTTAAACTTCAATAGTTTTAGTGAATTTGAGAATTTGATTCAGAAATGTATCTCAGTAATAAAAATAGAGATTTTAGTTTAATCTAAATATTAATTCAGTTGACAATTAAATAAATGTATCCTCTTCCAGACATGATGACGTATTAATTCACTGCTTTGATAGCAGTACTCCGTTAATATAAGTTACGCCCTCTCGCGATGGGGTGATTCTATGACGTCACATGTTTGTAAGAATTGTTGTTTCAATATGTGACTATGCTTTTAGTGTAGTCGTTCTGCGTTTAGATAGTCTCTTTAAAAGCTCGTATTTGTTATTGACGGTTGACCATAGATCAAAGAAATAGCGTCATTGTGAACAATAGAGGGCGCGATATATTAGATCGGTGTAGTCAATTGCATTTAAGGTTTCTGTTGCTATGTTGTCATAATGATGGAATTCTGCCTTTAATGCAGTCACTCGGGTCGGTGTACTCGGGCATATCCGACATAACTTCTGATGAGGACGGACGAAGTATATGTACGACGATCACGTCATCCAGTACATTCAGTGGGAAAAGAGTACAGATTTTTACGACGAGGGGAACATACAAGGTAAATACTGATCAGCGTGATTTTAATGTTAGTGTGATTCTAATGACAACGTGATTTTAATGTTAGTTTTGTTCTACTGACAGCGTGATTTCAATATTAGTGTGATTCTAATGACAGTGTGATTTTAATGTTAGTTTGATTCCAATGACAGCGTGATTTTAATGTTAGTTTGATTCTAATGACAGCGTCATTTAAATGTTAGTGTGATTCTAATGACAGCGTGATTTCAATGTTCGTGTGATTCTAATGACAGCGTGATTTCAATGTTAGTGTGATTCTAATGACAGCGTGATTTTAATGTTAGTGTGATTCCAATGGCAGTGTGATTTTAATGTAAGTGTGAATTCAATGACAGTGTGATTTTAATGTTAGTGTGATTCTAATGACAGCGTGATTTTAATGTTAGTGTGATTCTAATGACAGCGTGATTTCAATGTTAGTGTGATTCTAATGACAGCGTGATTTCAATGTTAGTGTGATTCTAATGACAGCGTGATTTCAATATTAGTGTGACTTTAGTATTACTGTGTGCTAGGTTTTGATTGACATTATTTGGTTGTTATTTTGTTTTATCTTCAGGGACAGATTGTTGCTTTGAAGATGATTAACAAGAAAAATATCGTTCTAAACCGAGAACAATTACTAGAACTTCGAATGGTAAGTTATTTATTTATTTATTTATTTATTTATTTATTTATTTATTTATTTATTTATTTATTTATTTATTTGTTTATTTGTTTGTTTGTTTTTATTTGTTTGTTTATTTATTTATTTTAGTTATGTCAGTTATAAACACAATGTTAATATTAGGATACATATTACAGTTTACAATTAAATTGTTTCGATTTTGTTCTTGGTACCCTTCTGATCCATCTAGCAGATGAAAGAATTCCAGCACGACAACCTGTGTAGGTTTATCGGCGTTTGCATTGATGCGCCCAATATATGCATAGTCAGCGAATACTGTGCTAAGGGCAGTTTACAAGACATACTGGAAAACGAAGATATCAAATTAGATCGGGTTTTCAAAATGTCATTTGCGGCAGACATTCTGAATGTAAGTGATAACAATGTCGTCATTTAAAACAATATATTTAATCGTATTCAGATTCTATGGGAAATAATATGTATTCACAGCAGATATTTATGAAGAGTTTAATTGCATATATAACTACTATTAATAGTACACGATGTTGTCAAATACAGGGCCTTCATTTTCTTCACAACAAAACTCCCATTGGTTTCCATGGAAACTTCAAGTCATCTGATTGTTTAGTTGATAACCGATGGGTGGTAAAGATATCAGATTATGGATTGCGTCTCTTTAAAGACGGTCAAGAATATGAACACAGTGAACATGCACATTACAAAAGTAAGTTTGAAATCATATTCGTTAACCACAAAATTTAACCAAAAAATGCCCAACTAATTAATCACATTAAAATGGTTTGTTTTGTTTATTCTTAAGAACTTCTCTGGAGAGCACCTGAATTACTACGAGAACCTAATTCTTCTGTTATTGGGTATAAAAAAGGAGATATTTACAGCCTTGGCATAATTTTTCAAGAGATCGCGTTGCGGGATGAACCATACTGTATGTTTCCCGACTTGTCTCCAAAGGGTAAGAAATCTAAAGGAATGGTATAGCATATACATGTCGGTAATAGAATGGGAGTATGTGTTGGCAGTGACCATCGGTAATAGAATAGGGGTATGTGTTGGCAGTGACCATCGGTAATAGAATATGGGTATGTGTTGGCAGTCACCATCGGTAATAGAATAGGGGTATGTGTTGGCAATGAACATCGGTAATAGAATATGGGTATGTGTTGGCAATGAACATCGGTAATAGAATAGGGGTATGTGTTGGCAATGAACATCGGTAATAGAATATGGGTATGTGTTGGCAATGAACATCGGTAATAGAATAGGGGTATGTGTTGGCTGTGACCATCTGTAATAGAATAGGGGTATGTGTTGGCAGTGACCATCGGTAATAGAATAGGGGTATGTGTTGGCAGTGACCATCGGTAATAGAATAGGGGTATGTGTTGGCAATGAACATCGGTAATAGAATATGGGTATGTGTTGGCAATGAACATCGGTAATAGAATATGGGTATGTGTTGGCAATGAACATCGGTAATAGAATATGGGTATGTGTTGGCAGTGACCATCGGTAATAGAATAGGGGTATGTGTTGGCAATGAACATCGGTAATAGAATAGGGGTATGTGTTGGCAATGAACATCGGTAATAGAATAGGGGTATGTGTTGGCAGTGACCATCGGTAATAGAATATGGGTATGTGTTGGCACTG